TAGTTGAGATATGGATAGATAAGGGAGTAATAGAGAGTCACCAGGGCAGGGCGTGGTACATAATATCTGATCTTAGAAAGAATGCCCACAGTTTTTGAAACTTTTTTTGATATGTTTAGAATGTGTCCCTGGAAATTCAGCTTGTGGTCAATGAGAATGCCAAGGAATTTGCCATCTAATTTGTTACAAATTTGGGTATTGTTTATTTTGAGATTTATTTGATTAGAGGATTTATTGCCAAACAGAATATAGAAAGTTTTGTCAATGTTAAGGGTGAGTTTGTTGGCAGTCAGCCACAGATTTACTTTATTTAGCTCAGTATTTACTGTGGCATTTAGAGCAAGGGGATCAGGACTGGAGTAAATGAAGGTTGTGTCGTCAGCAAATAGGATTGGTTTGAGCTGTTGGGAGGCATTTGGAAGGTCATTAATGTAGATGAGAAAGAGGAGAGGGCCAAGTATGCTGCCCTGGGGAACACCAATGTTGATGGGTAGGGTGGGAGAAATTGTATTATTCACAGAAACACATTGGAGCCTGTCAGTAAGGTAGGATTTGAGGTATTGTAGGGAGTGTCCTCTGACACCATAATGATGTAATTTAAGAAGAAGGTTTTGGTGGTTGACAGTATCGAAAGCTTTACGCAGGTCCACAAATAACCCAACAGGGAACTCATTTTTATCAAGAGCTGTATGAATCGAGTTAAGCATACTAATAAGTGCATCGTTAGTGCTTTTTTTGGGCCTGAAGCCATATTGGCAAGGGCTAAGTATATTGAGTTTGGCTAGATATGAGTAAAGCTGCTTATAGATTAGTTTTTCAGAAATTTTTGACAAGTTTGGCAGGATTGATATAGGTCTGTAGTTGTTAACATCTGTGAGATCACCACATTTGTGGACAGGCGTTACTCTCGCTTTTTTTAGAATATCTGGAAAGGTTTGGAGTTCAAGTGACTTGTTGAAGAGCAAAGCAATAGCAGGGGCTAAAGATCTGGAGGCTTTTTTGTAGATTAAAGTTGGTATCTCCTCAAGGGCACCAGACTTGGTTTTAAGGGAAAGGATTATCTCATTGACGTCAATGGAATTAATAGGCTTTAGGTACAGAGACTGGGGATAGTTCCCTGTAAGATAGTCCTTAATGTCAGTACTGGAAGATGGAATATCATTAGCAAGGGATGAACCAATGGAAGAGAAGAACCTATTGAACTCAATAGCAGAATCAGAGGCTGAAAGCTGACCATCGTTATTAGACAGGAGAGTCGGTTTGTTAGTTAAAGACTTCTTTGATCCCAATATTTGTGAAATTGTTCTCCATGTTTGTTTAATGTTGCTCTTTATTTGGGTAAATTTATCTTCGTAGTATTTAGTTTTGGCTCGTCTAATTATCTTAGATAGCAATAATGAGTAATTCTTTGAGAATTCTTTGGAGACAATTCCTAACCTATACTTTTTCTCAAGGTCATGTTTTTTATTAATAGATTTAAGTATTCCCTTTGTAAGCCAGGGATTGTTAAGCCTTTTGGTTGTGACTTGTTTTGTAAGCATAGGACAGTGGGTATTATAAAGGCTAAGAGTTTTTTGAAGAAAAGATTGAACTGCTAGGTTGATGTCCTCTATGTTACCTAACTCGGACTCCCAGTTGACATTATCAGTAGCAGTAATAAAATTGTCTATAGCAGTTTCATTGTGTAGTCTAAAACGAATCTCTCTTGACTCAAGAGGTGGTTTGCTAATGTTAGTTAAGAGAAATGTGGGGTAATGGTCTGTAGTGCTATCGGTGATTATACCTGAAATAAGCGGAGAGGTTATATTTGTCCAGATGTGATCTAGAGTCGTGGCAGTGCTATCAGTGATTCTAGTAGGTCTAGTGATTAAGGGTATGAGGAAGCAGGAATTCATACAGTTGAGGAAGCTAACAGCAGTAGGGTGTTCTGGCTCGCAGAGGTCAATATTAAAGTCCCCTGCGATAATTAGGTGGTTTTTGTTCAGTCTGTTATCAAGTATTAGATTTCTAAGGTTTGAGTTGAATTCGGACACATCAGTGTTAGGAATTCTATAAACTGCACCCACAGACAGGATAGACTCGGCACCCTTGACTCTGAAGCTGGCGAAGATATACTCCCCATAGCAGTCTCTAGTTCTAATTTCTTTTAAGCATGTTAGTTCTTGGTGGTAGTAAAGAGCAGTGCCACCACCTCTCTTCCATGCCTGGCTGAGGGGGGTGTGAGAATTGAGACTGTTAACAAAAGTTTCCCAGTTATCTTGCCTGAGCTCTGTCATGCGCTCCCTCGCCTTGGCGAGGGAGCGCATGACAGAGTCCAATGTCCTTGTGTCTAGCACTGTAGTCACCAAGAATGATGGTTGGCTCTGCTTGAGCGCAGGCCGGAAATGGTCACTGCTTGCATCACAAGCGGGGATGTTTCTGGCGGGGGAGAAAGAAACAATTGCGCAGCGCGTCCCGCGGCGTTGCGCGGGCAGTTTGGGGCCGTATAAATACGGGCGCACAACGGGGCTCCGCCTCACTCCGCCTGCCCTCGCCGCTGCCCTCGCAAAACCCCACCCTCCCCCCCTTTTGCAAGCGGCTGCTTTTGTACGCCCGTCATGCTTTGCACAGTTGTCCCGATTGTCTCCCCACTGCATGTGGGAAGGGGGGGTGCAGCGCCGGTCCCCAAGTGTCCCGCTGTCCGCAGCTAATACTTTGCCCAGTCTAGGTGCTAGTAAGCCCTACTTGTAGTCACACCCCCTTCTCCTTATCCATTAGGTCTTTTACGGCCTCTTGGCCGGGTACATTACGTGTTATGTGGTCTCTCACTTATTAGTTATTCTTTGTGTCCTGCCTGTTATATCCTAGTGTTATATAATTACTACACATTTGCACTCAGCCTTAATTCTAGTACCAGTTAACCTTTAGGTTTCTGCAGAATTAGTTTCCATGTCACTATAGGCTAAGGTCTCATACTTACTACGGGTGTACCTTTTAAGTTAAATCTAGTCCTTGGAATTGTTACTGTTAATTCTTACTTTATATATTTACTTTATATATTTACTTTATATATTTTAATATAAACGTTATATATTCCTTAAATTATATTTGAAACTTTGTATATTTACATGTTCAATATTAAGTTTTATATAATATCAACTTTGTTAAGTCTATAATATAAACCGTGTTTAATATAAACTTTATATAATTACTTACTTTATGTGAACTTTATATATTTACATGTTCTGCAGAATTTAATCTACAATAAACTTTAACGCCCCATACTGCCAGTATCTTTCTCCCCCTGGTCAGAAAGATCAATATAATTTAACTTTCCTGCTGGAGCATATAGATTAAATACATTGAGAACAGAGTTGCCAACATAGATCCTCACTCCATGATACTGTTGGCCGGCAGTTTGTTTTTCTGGCAGAAGTTGATGGGGTAGGGATTGTTTGATGTATAGAATGCAAGAGTTACTGGATCTGAGGTTGTAAGAAACAAATGTGGGCAATTTCGGGGGTGAGGATCTTGCGGGAACTCTGCACTCCTGGAAGACATACAATATCGATGTGTTCAGTTGTTACTTTGTGATGTAAATCTGAGAACCTTTTTTTGAGGGATGCAATGTTCCAGCTTAGGACGGATAACTTAGTTAATTGTGCATTTAAAGTCAGCATTATATATATTGATATTATTAGTTCACTTAATAAATATTATCTATATACATATTATCTATTGCACTACGGTATAAGTCCAGGAACATTTCTTAGTTTATTACCAATGTATTTAATTATTTATTACCATTTGCATCCAATGGTCTAGTACAATTTGTCTGTCATTTCCAGCTATAGAGTCGTTTTGGAAACATTTGGCAAATCATTGACGTATATAAGAAATAGGAGAGGTCCCAAGATGCTGTCCTGTGGCACCCTTACTGTCAATGGTAGAGTGGGGGAGGCTATGATATTGATGATTACATATTGATTATTGGTGTCTGTCAGTGGGGTAAGAACAAATATAGAACAGAGCAAGGCCTCGGATACCATAGTAATGAAGTTTAAGTAAGAGGTAGTAATGGTTTACAGTATCAAAGGCCTTTCTCGGGTCAATGAAGAGGCCAATTGGGAACTCGTTTTTGTCAAGGGCTGTATAGATTATATTAAGCAGACTAATAATGGCATCATTGGTACTTTTTTGAGAACGGAAGCCTAACTGGCAGGGATTTAATATGTTGAGTTTTACAAAGTAGGAATAGAGCTGTTTGTAAATAATTTTGTCAAATATTTTTGAAAGTATAGGTAAATTTGATATTGGTCTGTAATTGTTTATGTCACCTGTCTCACCTCCTTTGTGAACTGGCCGGGATATCGATATCGCTTAATGAATTAGGCTGGGATATCGATATCTATGACAGATGGCTGCAGGTAATGAATCTCCCAATGGTGAACATTCATATTGTAAACTATGTAGACAAGAGCTGGGACATACTCTCCAACACTATATCTGTGATTGCCCTGTTATAAGTGACTTCAGACGTAATGGAATGAGGTACTTTGCGCTCTGTAATTACTTCATACACTGGAAGATATTCTTGTGCTGTACCAGATTTTGCTAGTGGAGACTAATAGATCAGCCTTTCATTTCATGTTCTCTCCTGATTTTAAGCCAGAATTGATTGTTTTTGTGTTGAGGCAGGTATTTTCTCCCCTGATTCCATATATGACTTACCATCCTGTGAGATGGGAATATTAGATGAACTTATAGCTAGTTTTCGGTCTACACTATGTAATCTTTCATATAGAATAGGGTAGCAAGCAACACATTACTGAGTATACCTAAGCTTGTTAATTAAAAAAAAATGTGTATTCTATTAAATATAGCTAATTATATATATATTTTTATAAGTTAGTTTAGTTCATTTATTATGCACCCCATACCCATCTTGTGGGCGTTTTTTTATATAAATAAATAATATTATTGTATATGATGTGTGGGAACTTGTATGGGGGTGTGGTGACGTCACACTGAAGACGTATTGTGTTGACAATCTCCTCCTGGAGTGCCAGGTGGCAGTGCTCGCCCGCAAGTCTTTACTGGATCAGCAGGACTTGCACACAGTCTACTGGAGGAGCGAGAGTGATGGCTGGGAGGGTGAAGGATGACGTTGCGGAGCAGCTGGCTGTCTACCGCTGGAGGAAGAAGCAACAGGAGGAGGAGGAGAGGCGCAGAGGCCTGATGCAGCGGGTGTGGGAGTTCCTGCCCTCCTTGGTGTCTAGAGCCACACCACCTCTCTCCTCTCCTACACTCCACCAACCTCCTAGAGTAACCTCTGAAGACACACATCATCTCAACACCAGTAAGGTAGAAGAATTAGCAGGAATTGTTCCAGCCTGAAGGGTTACTCGTGGTGTCTGTTGTAGTGGGCCTGACAGCCGAGTGGACAGCGCTCGGGATTCGTAATACAAAGATTCCGGGTTTGATCCCCGGTGGAGGCGGAAAGAAATGGGCAGAGTTTCTTTCACCCCTGATGTCCCTGTTCACCTAGCAGTAAATAGGTACCTGGGAGTTAGATAGCTGTTACAGGCTGCTTCCTGGGGGTGTAATTACCTATCTTGAGGTCATCTTGAGATGATTTCGGGGCTTTTTAGTGTCCCCGCGGCCCGGTCCTTGACCAGGCCACCACCCCCAGGAAGCAGCCCGTGACAGCTGACTAACACCCAGGTACCTATTTTACTGCTAGGTAACAGGGGCATAGGGTGAAAGAAACTCTGCCCATTGTTTCTCGCCGGCGCCTGGGATCGAACCCAGGACCACAGGATCACAAGTCCAGCGTGCTGTCCGCTCGGCCGACCGGCTCCCTTTCACAATTCCTGCTACACCTAAGTGTAGTTACAGGATGAGAGCTATGCTCGTGGTGTCCCGTCTACCCAGCACTCTTTGTCATATAACACTTTAAAACTACTGACGGTTTTGGCCTCCACCACCTTCTTAACTTGTTCCGTCTACCACTCTGTTTGTGAAAGTGAATTTTCTTATATATCTTCGGCATCTTTGTTTAGTTAGTTAGGTTAAATCTATGACCTCTTGTTCTTGAAGTTCCAGGTCTCAGGAAATCTTCTCTATCGATTTTATCAATTCCTGTTACTATTTTGTACATAGTGATCATATCACCTCTTTTTTCTTCCGTCTTCTAGTTTTGGCATATTTAATGCCTCTAACCTCTCCTTGTAGCTCTTGCCCTTCAGTTCTGGGAGCCACTTGGTAGCATGTCTTTGCATCTTTTCCAGTCTGTTGATGTGCTTCTTAAGATATGGGCACCATACAACCACTGTATATTCTAGCTTTGGCCTAACAAAAGTCGTGAACAACTTCTTTAGTATTTCACCACCCATGTATTTAAAAGCAATTCTGAAGTTAGAAAGCGTAGCATAGGCTCCTCGCACAACGTTCTTTATGTGGTCCTCGGGTGATAATTTTCTATCTAGAACCACCCCTAGATCTCTTTCTTTATCAGAAGAAATCTTTCAAGATTTCTCACATAATTTATAGGTTGTGTGAGGTCTATGTTATCCTATTCCACATTCCATAACATGGCATTTATTCACATTAAATTCCATTTGCCAAGTGGTGCTCCATATTCTTATTTTGTCCAGGTCTTCTTGAAGGGCATGACAATCATGTAGGTTTTTTATCTTCCCTATTATCTTAGCATCATCAGCAAACATGTTCATATAATTCTGTATTCCATCTGGTAGATCATTTAAGTAGACAATGAACTGAACCCTGTGGTACTCCACTTGTGACATTTCTCCAGTCCGATACATTACTTCTAATTACTGCCCTCATTTTTCTATCGGTCAGAAAATTTGTCATCTATGTTAGTAGCTTACCTGTTACCCCTCCAATATTTTCAAGTTTCCAGAACAACCTCTTATGTGGAACTCGGTCGAAAGCCTTTTTTAGGTCCAGATAGATGCAGTCAACCCAACCATCTCTCTCCTGTAAAAACTCTGTGGCTCGATCATAGAAACTTGGTAAATTCGATACACAGGATCTTCCTGATCGAAAACCATACTGTCTATCTGATATTATATCATTTCCCACCAGGTGTTTTACCCATTTAGTTTTTATTATTTTTCCAATATTTTGACTATTACACTTGTCAATGATACAGGTCTATAATTGAGGGGGTCTACCCTGCTTCCACTTTTGTAGATTGGAACTATGTTAGCCTTTTTCCACACATCTGCTATGACTCCTGTACACAGGGATGTCTGAAAAATCAGCTGAAGTGGAATGCTGAGCTCAGTTGCACATTCTCTCAGAACCATGGTGAAACTCTTTCTGGGCCAACTGCTTTGTTCTTACTTTGCTCCAAGAGCATTTGTTTCACTTCGTCTCTAGACACTTCTATGTGCTCTATGGTGGAATTCTTATATAGTGTCTGGTTCTCTGAAGATCTCATTTTATACAAACACACTTGGGAACTTTTCGTTTAATGTTTCAAACATTTCCTTTTCATTTTCCATGTATCTGTCCCCCATTTTCAACCTCTGAATATTATCCTTTACCTGCAGCTTGCTTTTAATGAATTTATAGAAAAGGCCTTGATCTGATTTACATTTGTTTGCTATACCATTCTCAAAGTTCCTGTCTGGCTCTCTCCTTACTGATGTGTAGTTGTTTCTTGCATCTTTGTATCACTGATATGTTTGGGGGTTTGGTCTCTTCCTATAATGATTCCATGCTTGTGTCTTTTGATCTCTGGCCCTCTCGCAATTTCTGTTGAACCAACCCTGTTTCCTAGGTCTGTATCTTGGTTTTGGTATGAATGTTTGTGTGCCTTCATCGTATATTTTGCAAAATTTGGCATGCATCTCATTTACTTCCTTGCTTTGCAAGAAATCTCTTTCACCAGCACAGCCACTTCTTTCCCCTTCCTAATTTTCCTGTCACGTCTCCAAACTGAGTAGCCCCTTAGGAATACAACCTCATTTAAAATATTTTCAAGTTTCGTCTCTGTTAATACGACAATATTTGGGACTTTGAGCTGAATTATATCCTTCAACTCCAATATTTTTGATCTCGCTCCATCTATGTTAGTATATGCTATTTTCAGGAACATGTTTCCCTTCTCTTTATTCTTTACACCCCCTTCCTTTAATGATTTTTTGCTTTGTCTTTATGTACCATTTCACAAGCTTTCCACTCCCTGACACTTTGTAGAAAAAAATTCCTCTCTTCATTTCTATCCCCATTTAGACGTTTCGCTTCAACGAGGTTCATTTTCAGCTTTTCTCTGTCCTCTTTTGAGAGGTCTTGTCTTTTTGACCAAAGTTTGCCATCCTCGTCTCATTGCAATTTTCTGGTATTCCGAAGCACTTCTGTCATATACTTCACTTCATTAAACGTCACCCTTAAGGGGCTGTTCTTGTCTTTCTCATATTTTCCTATCCTCCTAAAATCACTAACATGCTCCTTTGAATTTAGGCCTTCTCCTAATCCTAATATTTTTTCTATGATTTTTTATCTCTTCTGCTGCTCGGTCCACCCTAGATGAAATTTCCGTCTCTAAACATCCAAAACTTATTATGGACTTACTTCTATCTACAGTGTTTTGTACCAGTTTACTGTTGGTTACCACTTCTTTCCTAATTACTTGCCTAAGATCCGCTTCTTGTTTATCATTTCTGGTTTTGACTTCCAAACACACTTCCTTAATCGTCTCTTTCTCTTTTACAACTTGGGCATACGTCTCTTTTTGATTTCTTCTTTATACTTTTCTAGTTCTTTATTAACCACCTCTATGTGAGTTGTCAATGAAGTTTCCAGTTGCAGAGCCTTACCTAACTCTGTTAGCCCTCAGGCATCCTTGGAGTTGTTCACCAAATGAGTCTATTTTCTTGTTTATTTCTTCAAAGTCACCACACTTCACTTTTCACACCTCATTTTCTTTCACTAGTTCCTTGATTTGCTCCTCCTGATTTGTTACCATGTCCGTTAATGCAGTAATAATCTTGCCTTCAGATTAGCTGAAGAATACTTCCTTTTAGAGTGCAAAGCTCACTCCTAAGAGCTCCATTGTCCTTTTCTAATTTAAGCACTTTTTCTTCATACTTCTTTTGCATATCCTTAATTATCTCTAACCTGCCAAAAAAACTCCTTTCCTTATATCTTGTGGTGAGAATCCTTTGAAACAATCATCTGTTGGTGTGCTTGCATTTCCTATGGTGGTGGTGGTGGCGGCCACCATCTTTGTTTTTGTTCTAGAACAAAAATTAAACTTTTTCAACTCTGCTATTTTCACTTGCCTTTACTTGTTTATTGTATTTTATTTGCTTTTACATTTCTCTGAACCATTATGTAACCTGGGACACCACTGTAGCCCGGAACCTGTTCCCAATACTTAGGTACTGTAATTCGATATTCCAGGAGCTTGTTGCAGTGTGACTCTTGCCTCCTCCAGCCTCCAAGAAAAAATCAAAACACAACAAAACAAGTGTTACACACTTGTTTTGTTTTGTTACACACAAACACAGTGTGTTTGTGTGTAACAAAAGGAAGCCTGGTCGAGGACTGGGCTGCGGAGATGCTAAGCCCCAAAATCATCTCAAGATAACCTCAAGATATGGTTCATTAGGAATGGAATCAATGTTCCGAATAAAACGAGCTCTTTTACGAGCTCTTTTCTTTTGAGAGAGATTATAGCGAAAGCAGATAAAGATAGATCACGACTGTTGATAGTCGGCGACTTCAACTTGAAATCCATAGACTGGAAGGCATATGAAGCTAGAAAAGACGACTTTTGGACTTGTAGATTCATAGACCTCATTCTGGAAACATTCTTGTATCAACATGTTAATGAAGCTACGAGGATGAGGGAAGGGGATATACCCTCCATATGGTGCTTGCCATGTTCATTTGATATTTACCAGGAAAGAGGATGAGATATTTGACATTTAGTACCTTCCTCCCTTGGGTAAAATTGACCATGTCTTTTTGGGAATAAAGTATGCAATGCATTATAATCTGGAAGTAAATAAGGAGGTTGAAGCAGTTGGAAAAACCTGATTTCAGGAGAGGTCATTATGGGGAACTCAGACATTTCTTTAAGGAATTTGACTGGAAAGACTTGCTGTTAGGACATGAAGTAAATGAGATGTATGTCAAGTTTTGTGAAATATATGATAAAGGCACAACAAAATTTATACTAAAGCAGAGATGCAGAACTAGGAAACAGGATTGGTTCAACAGAAATTGTGAGAGGGCTAGAGACCAAAAGACACAAAAATGGAATCGATATAGGAAGAGGCCAAACTCCCAAACATACCAGCGATACAAAGATGCGAGAAACAACTACA